ATATATATATATATATATATATATATATATATATATATATATATATAATTTATCATGACCTAGATATGTGTGTGTGTGTATGGCCTAAACTATCTGTAACTATAACCTGCCTAGTCTGTATACATACCATTAATTTCTATGCCTGCTTTTTTCCTCTCCATGTACTATTGTTTCCTGCTACTATCTTGCCTAAGATTTCCTCTGGGGCCACTGCAGCAACCTGCTAGAATATCTCATGAGCATCAGGTCTTCTGTTAGATAGTAGGGTTCTTCAGCACAGACTCCTTCGGCTTTGTATACCTTGTATCTCCATCTGAGAGCAAACTCCACAGTTAGTCACCCAGCAATCTCAACATTACTTTTTTGTACTGCTCAGCACGAAGGCAATTTCTTTCCTGTTCATCGACAGGGTGTCCTTGAGTGTGTCTAGATTCCTCTTGCCCTTTCTTCCACACAAACATCCCAAACTCATCTTTCCTTGTTCCCAAACATCTTTCCCATCACTGCTGTCTACCCAGCTCACACAGATTCTTCCTTGTAATGACTAGAGCCATTGTGTTAATCTTCTAATGTTACCTATTCCTCAGTGGTTTGCCATGTGTTCTTAAGATTTGGGTGCCTCAAATACATAGGAAAATACTTGAGCATAGAAAATATTCAGGAAAAAATGTGTTTGATGAATTGTTAGCATTTTTTTTTTTAGTTTGTTATCTCTCAGTTTTAGACTGCTCTACTTTAATTGGTTACCTGTATTAGCCTGGTAGCAAAATAAACTGAGAAATCATGGGCAGGCAGATTAGTCGTAAAGCTAAGCAACTCAGTGCTGGATTCTTCTTCAATGTCCCAGCTTGGTTGACTCAAGTCAATCACTGAGAAACTTCTCGCTCACTTCTCCCAGGTGTAGAGGTGAGAATGATTCTTTTTCTTTCTGTCATGACACTGGACTTTTATGTAGCTTAATGACGACAATATACAATGAGCTGTAAGGGATTCCAGAGTCAGTCAGACATTGTGTAGATGTTTATTGAGTTTGGACTTTATCCCAAGTGCTTGCACAAGGATGCCATTGGGAAAGCCACCACAGACTTCACCTTTGCATGCTAGGAAAAAAATGTTTCTGTAGAGTGGTATATATCACAGTGATTTAAAGATGAGAAGAAAGAGCTCGGAGTAGCTTCTCAAGAAACATGGAAATAAGACAGTCAGGCAGTAGTTGGGGAATAGGAGTTTAAGGGAGGTATAAAACACATTTTATAGAAATAGAGACAACAGTAAGTGGAGGAAAAGATTTGGGGAGACAACAGGATGTTGTATGAGGACCAAAAGTAAAGAAATCTGTTGGTTAAGGAAAAAAGAAGGAAATCAAGAGCAGGCAAAATGTAATTACATATGACACCATTTTGTAAGAATCGATATAAATACTGCTTTTGTTGTCCACATGGAATTAAAGATTTTAGTGATTAACATGAATGACATAGTTCTTTATTTTAATCAACAGTGATGATTTCTATAAATTTTATATTCAATGCAAAATATGTATGATTGCAACACCAGCATACCTTTTAGTCTCCAGTAACCAAAACCTTTGAAATGCTTTCTTCATCTAGAGACTTAAAAACCTGATACCACGCCAAACCGATTTCAATCTGATGCGGGTTACATGCAGGTTTCAAGAAAAGTATAAGCAAATGAAAGAAGATCTTGCCCAAATGCATATTGAGAAGTTTGAAAAAATTCAAAAACTTGAGGAAGAGCAAAGACACTTTAATATCGAGAAGGTTTCATAGACTTTTTTTTTCCTTCCTGAAAATTCATTAGTATGAATTAGTATACTTGGTGGTTCATTTCTGCCTGTAGTAAGCACACATTGCATAAACAGCAGTGCAGATAGATTGCATAGCGTGATACATGGCTCTGCTTTGCCTCACCGGATCCTCCCTCTCTTCATCTCGGTTCCCACTCTCTCTTGCTGCACCTGTGACTGAGAGCTATCAGCTGCCTAATAGGACAACTTTCTTTCACTGAACGAAATTTGTCCTCAGCTCTTTTGGGAAAGGATTTGCTACTAGCTACCCTACTGGCCAAAGGACCTCAACCATTATATCCCTGTGGAAGACAGGAGGGAGGCTTCTCCATGCCCTGCTCTGTTCCATTCTCCACAATGTCCCAGTCTCTATATCCTCCTCCATTTATTTTAGGGGTTTACTTCTCTGATTGCTTCCCTCTCCAACTATGTGAAGCATCTTATCTTCACCATCCTTAGCTATCGCCTTGTGTAAGTCGCTGCTGATTCTAAAACCTCTTTGAATAAAGTCTTTACTGATCTATGTCTTTAAAGACATGGGAGGAAACCCATCAAATCATTAAAGACTTTTAAGAGAATTTCAAATGGCTGGATGCATAGAGTGTGCTAACTACAGGCAATGGAATTATTGCTCTCCCTGTTATATTTGAAATTTGCTTTTTAAATTGATTAGTATGTCAAGAGGCTAGTATATCCTGGATGGAGTAAGCTTCCTCTGGGGAAGGAGGGACACATTCAAGAGGCAAACTATAGAAAGTCTTCTGTTAGTTTCTGGAGGACAGAATCATTCTTCAATGTTTCTGCATAGCAGAGACAGGACACTCTAAGTGCAATGTTTCAGTTGAGGCCAAGAGCTGGGACTCATGTCTGTTGAACCAGCCAAATCAGGTATGAATAGCCAAGTATAATACAGGAAACCTCCAAAGAAAGAAGAGTCAAAGAGTGTAGAATATTGTGAATTATATGGAAGAGAGATTGTGAATCATGGCCATAGGTAATAAACAAGACAAGAGACGAAGCCTGTGGTTTCCCCATATTCTTAAGAAAAGAAACATATTGTAATAAAATAAAAATCCACATGAAATAAACATATGGCAAGGCTTCACAATTTAGAAAATGAAATAGAAAATTTAAAATGATAACTTCTGCATTTTAGTCATAAATGTAATTTTCCTTGGATGTAGAAATTAAGGAATTCAGTTCTAACACAATGCCTTAGTAGTAAAGACATGTATCATTTTCATAAGTTGTTTAGCTTTAAAATATTTAATAATATATATTTTAGACATTTCTCTTTCAATCACATCATTCTCTTTATATTGTCCTTAAAACAAATATTGCCTGTCTTAAGAGATAATCCAATAATGCTTTATATTTGGTGTGAGGCCAGTAGTTGATGTTGTCCCTGAACTCATATATGTATAGGTAGACTGGTATGGAGAACCTGACTTTTCTAGTGGCAGCTGTTGGGTTTATAGTCTTCGGGGGCTTCCTGAGAGAAAGGATTTTCATATTTGGGCTGGTCATGAATGTGACATTGATAAAGAACTATAATATTTTTGTATTTAAAGCCCCTGACTATTCTTGTACCAATGCACATAATGACAATACATAATTAGTCATAATTTTAGCATATTAATGTTGTGTTTAGCATCATAATTTTCAATGTAAATAATGCCAATAATGTCTTTCCAGTACTACACAATTGTGACACCTTGTGCATTTCTTAATAGCTAAGTTCTGAAATTTTCAACAGATAACTTATGTATTTGTGTATCTGTGTATATGTTACATTCTTACTATTTCGACAAGCTGAATGAGTAAATTAATGTGTATGCCATACTCAGCAACGCTTAAACAGGAGACGACAAAATGAGATAATGGCCAAAATCCAGGCAGCCATTATACAGATCCCCAAGCCTGAATCCAACCGAACTTTGAAAGCTATCGAGGCTCAAAAACTGATGAAAAAGAAACAGGAGGCAGAGGTAAGTGGTAGTCACTTGTTGTCTCATGTTTCTCTTAATAGAAAATGAATGGCCTCTCTCTCTGCAATGTGCAGGGGAGATCATCCAAAGGCTATTATTTTCTTTTCAAAACTCTTGTTTACTCAGTGTCATCGTGTAACTTAGGCCAGGGAGATAAAATTTCCAATGTTTGGGATTTCTACTTGGACTCTTGTGTTTATGGGGAGTCTACTAAATTAGGTAAGTGTCAGGAATATACCCTTCCTCTTTATCATGCAATGTGGTTTCTTATGAATCCCAGAAATGTTAATTGACTTGTTGCTGTTAAAACATCTTAAATTAAAATGCCTGCACTGGAAGTACATTTTACTAGACCACACCGAGTGTCAACATTCCAATAGGATAAAATCTAATTATGTCATGGGAAAGTAATACTGTGTTTGGACAATTCCTGAATGCTTCTATTCTTTGTTGACCTAAGAAAGGTAACAATAATTACCGTTAGTTGAACATAGGTCAAAATATCAACTGTCATTTCACTTTTTATTGACTTGTTTTCTCTCAGTTCCATATTAACTTCTTCCTTTATAAATGAAAAGGAAACTAAAATCAAAATGCTGCCATATTTTACTGTAGCAGATGTGTGCAGTAAGAAGGCACTGGCCTAGATCTCCCATCCCTAAACCCATGGTATTTTGTGTTATCAATGCATCATTTATGAAACTCTAATAAAATATATTAGATTTGAATTGTAAAATGTATTATCCATATATTTTTCTACCTCCATTTTTGTATTTAGCAACTAAATTTCCCCGAGTTTTTGAAGATTTATTAATAAAGATTTATAGTACACAAGCATAAGCTGAAATTATTTAGAGAAAGGTTATAGCATAAGTTAGGTGGCATGGGAAATGTTCAAAACATACCACACAAACACTTGTAAGAAATATTTATATTTTAAAAACAGCCTGCTGCTGTTCTTGGTGGTCATCCCATGGTACCAGCATCTCCAATACACTGTAGTCTTCCCCTGCAACTAGGCTTCACCAATAGCCTGTCATAGGTTCTCTTCATGGTGCCAAGCCTCAACTCCTTTGCATGACCCCTTCAGTCCTGGGCCATCAACTGCAACTGAGGCTGTACCTTCACCAATGGCCTTTCATGGCCTCTCACAGTGCCAAGCCTCAGCTGCTCTTCACGATCCCTTCATGCCTTCAAAACCAGCACTACCTGGGTGACTTTTACAACATTACAAAATCCAGCTGCAGCACAAGGTACAACCTTGGCTATCTCTGGAACACAGCTTCTTTGTGCTCTCAGAAAACACTTCCCAGAAGATTTCACCTCAGAGATGTTGGTCTCTTTTTAATCACAGCTAACTTCTTAGCCCCAGCTAACCAGCATCAATTGTCCCAGTAGTCCCTTCTATTTTTCACTCTAAAGCCAGAGCCACATGGCTGAAGCTGCAGTGTTCCGCTGCTTTCTGGGGCTGCAACATGGCCCCCACCCCTTTATTCTATTACTAGCTTTCTTTTCTGACTTCCTCTCTGCCTAAGCTTGGCTGTCCTGGAACTTGCTCTGTAAATTGACCTCGAACTCAGAGCTCTGCATGCCTGTCTTCTAAGCACTGGGATTAAAGGTGTGGTCCACCAAGGCTTGATTTAAGTTTTTATTTAACTAGAATTTACTTGCTTTTGGCTGTCCTTGAACTCAGATCTGCTTGTCTTTGCTTCCTAGGATTAAAGGTTTGTACTACCATACCTGGAGTTAAATTTACCTGGGTGGAATCTTGTCCCAAGGTCACTACTCCCTTAATTCAATTTAATATCCTTGAATTCAGCTCCATTCACTTCCTGGTGTCCTGTTAATACTCAAACTATATATTTTGTATTTTTCCTTTCTCAGTTTGCTACGTTTGTTCAAAATGCTCTTCTTCAGACTTAACCAGAGAACAAAGTCTCTGTTGGGCTTTTTTGAGATTTCCTTTGTCCATGCAATTAATACAATATCTTTTTATCTTAGCCCTAGGCAGTCTCTTCAGACAATGGCAAAAAGCAGCCATGTTCTTTACCAAAATATCACAAAAACAGTCTCTAGGCCACATTAAATTTCTTCGCCACTGAAACCTCTTGGGCCAGCAGGCTTACACAGTTCAAAGGACCTTCAGCATCAGTGTCTTAAATAGTCCTTCTAGGTTGGTCCATTAGGCCCCAATTAAAGCATTCCATGGCTTTCCAAATTCAATGTCTCAAAATCCACATTCTTCCAAACAAAAGCATGGTCAGGCCTATCACAGTAATACCCCGGTCCCTGGTACCAACTGCCTGGACTCTGATCAGTGTCAATTGCATTAGCATCCTTTGGTACACTATTAAAATGAGACTCTTCCATCTGCAGAGATGGTTCTATAGTTTAACTACCTGCACCAATAAGCAAACATATCTGTGTCTGTAATTCAGTCTACATGTTTTGAGATGGGACCAGAGGCAGCATAATTCCCAGCAGAGAACAAGAGACCCTGAATAAAACAAGATTGAAGAGAGAAGTGAAACTAGAGGTTGTCCTTCTACATACATACACACATACACACACACACACACACACACACACATTTTTAAAATGACAGGAGAGGATGATAGGATAAGTGATTTAGGTGAGACAATGTCTACAGGGTAGCTTCATCTAAAAGAACAAATCAAAATTATAAAAGTATTTCAGCTTGTTGTATCTTCCCACTTAATTATTTTGAATTAGTACTATGAGTCACCTTTAAAAACTGATTGAACATGATGAATTTTCTCAGTGGCTTTTAAAGTCAAAGAACTAATGCCAAATTTTCTTTAAAGGATGTGGCCAATGAGATTAAGAAATTTGAAGCACTAATAAAAAAGGATCTCCAAGCTAAAGAAAGGTAAGATATATTTTACTTCTCAAACATGTAGTCAGTGCTATGAAGAACCTTTGAATATTTACAAGTAGTTTGTGTAACATTACTTAAAATTCGGATTATTTATTCATTAATAACTTTGATCTACCATGCCAATGTGGCTGTCAGGAAATAAAGAGTCAGTTTATTTTTCTGTGCTGTTTATTTTGTTGAATTCACATCCATCTTTCAATATTTACTAAAACTGTCACACTAATTTAAAAGTGCCCTAGGGAAGCCTTGGTTGGACTTTAGTTTGGTTTCTTTCATGTCAGATTCTCTATGTTTATTGCAGATTATAGCAATAAAGTGTTATTGGATGAAGTTTTTCATCAAATGTTATGCAACTGTGTGAGTTTTCTTCTGTAAATTGTACCCCTTTAATAACTTCATTTACCTTAATATAAACATGTCCTATATCCCCTTATTTTTTATTGTAGATCCTTGAAAATAGCCTATTAGTTGCTACTCCTATAGATACAGTGTAGGGTTTTCTACCTTTAAAAATAGAAACTATCCAAGCTCTATAATTTTACATCTTATAGAATGAAATTCTGGAAGAATTCTATATTAAGGGAAATTACCCCAAGTCAACAACACACTTCAGTTCCAGTTTAATGGTTCTGAATGAGGGAATTTCGAGTCCAATGAGGAGTGTAAAGTCAGAAAACAAATAGTAAAAAGGTCAGATATTGAAAAAAATCAATAAAATAGAAAGTATTCATATTTCCTTTTTCTTACCCTCTGCACAAATTCCAGAAGCCCTACCTTGATCTGCATGGCCTTTATCATTTTTGTCTCTGTCCTATAAAAGCAGAATACTCCAAGGCACATTGGTGACAAGGAAGATCTGCCATTCTGTCCTTGTGTCTTCATTGTTTGTTGTCTCTCCTGCCATGTGGGAGCTTTTGAAATTCATTCAATCCCATTTGTCAGTTATTACCACTCTTTCCTGGACTATTGAGTCCTTCACCATGAATTCTTACCTGTATTTATACTCTGGTAATTTCAGACTTTTGAGTCTTCCATTATGCTCACCGATCTATTTTTAATTGACTTTTATGTTAGGTAAGAAAATGGGAATAAGTCTTACCCTTTCACATGTGGCTATTTAGATTAGCTAGCAATATTTGTAAAAGAGACCATCCTTCCTCCAATGTAAGCTTGGTACCTTCCCCAAAACCCAAGTGGCTATAGCTGCATGCATCCATTTCTGGATTTGATATTTCATCCCACTGGCGTGCACGCATGCCTTATCATGGTGGATCTGTTACCGGATTTCTGACTTGTAATTTGAGATCAGGTATTGAAATACTGTCAGAATTTCTCCTTTTGCTCAGATTCCTTTGGGTATCTCAAATCTTCATGAACATTATAAGTTTTCCTAGTTCTATGGAGGATGCCATTGGAATTTTGGTCGTAACTATCCAGAATCGGTCTGTTACTTTTGATAATGTAATGTAACCACTTTCATATATTGATTCTGCTGATCCACAAGTATGGGAGGTCCTTTGTGTGGGCTACTCTTTTAATTCCTTTCTGTTTTGTTATGGTTTTGGTTTTTGTGTTGTTGTTTCCCCAAAAGGTTCAATTTAATCTTTCCAGAGATTTCCGAGGGAACTTGGGAGTGGGCATAGAATAGTGAATCCAACATCTCAGAGTGGCAGTGGAGGAGGCAAGGCAGCCAGAGGCTCAATCCAGGGGAAAGTTATGGGACGATAGGCTTTTTAAAGCCTTTTTGTCACTAGCTACTTTTTAAATTCACTTTGAATTTTTAGGTGAGGATGTTCTGGAATCATTTAAAAACTTCATACTAGCTCATTACAGTGTTAAAAATTTTGTAATATATTTTTAAATTATATTTTAAATTATTGTTGAATTACATCACTTTCTTCTTCCCTTTTTTTTCCCCTCCAGCCCTTCCCAGGTTCCCTCTTCCTCTTCCCATGTCCCCCACTCTCAAATTGATAGCCACTTTTTCTTCTTTTTTGTTGTGTGTGTGTTTGTGTGTATTATGGTATGTGGCATGTATGTGTATGTATATATGGTATGTGTGTGTATGTATGTGGTGTATATGTGTGTGTATGAGAGAGAGACAGAGAAAGCGAGACAGAGAGAGACATAGAGAGATAGAGAAAGATAGAGAGTGGAAGACAGAGAGATAGAGAGAGATAGAGAGAGAGAGAGAGAGAGAGAGAGAGAGAGAGAATGAATATCTGTGTACAGACAGCATGAACGTGAAGAAAAGTTTCAGTAGCTACCTCTTTCACTGCCCAGACCTGAAAAGTCTTTCAGAGACAAGTGATGTCACCTTAGAGCCCATTCTTTTCCTTTTGTGGAAAAATGGAAAGTCTCACTTCTAGCAATCTGGAGCCCCATGGCTGCCTCCTAACATGTATGCTGTCCATTAGGTGTTTAAAACAAACAAACAAATAGCAAAACAAATAATAAATACTATCAGTCATCTGTTTACTTAGCTGAGATTCATTGGATGTTCTATTTTTGGCATTTGGTGTAAAACATTTACCTCAAAATTCTCAAAATACATATTTGACAATATTTCTACACTGCTAATTACTGCATAAGACTCATTAATAGCTACAAATGTTTTATAAACAAACAGATATCAATAAAATATAACTACTGTTTTCGAGACACCAACATGTAATAAAATGAATATATCTTGAATTAGATTACCATAGAAATTTATTTTTAAGAATGTATTTTTTAATCATTTTAGTTTTACAAATTAATACAGTGTGATGACTTGATGCACATAGACATTAATCAAACAATCTAATCAGCATATCCAGCGTTTTTATGTCATCCAATATGATTTGACTAATAAAGATGTATTTATGGGTTACAACATAGTGCTTGAATTGGAGCATAGAGCATTTCCATTTTATTATTACCTGGCATTAGGTGTCTTTGATAGCTCTTAAGCTGATGGATAACTAGGGATGGATGGGTGAATGGAGGAGTGAATGGATTGACTCATTAATAACAGAATTCATGAACTAGATTTTTGGCAGCATAAATAGTATTTAGAGAGCTGCTACCCTACATTTAATTCAGGATCGAACCTTTGTAGCAACACATTTAGGTAAAAGAGTAGTAAGAATTTTACTGAATGATCACATGAATTTCCACAGGCATGTAATTATACTAACCTTCTAAAAATGTTTTTGAAACTATCCCAAGTGATATGCTTATTTATTTTGAAGATGGGAGTCCACTGTGTAGTCCTGGATGGCACGAAACTTACTAGTGTTAACCAGGATGGCAATGCTCTCGCAGAAATTAATCTACCTTTACCTCACAATTGCTGAGATTATAGTTCAGAGCCACTGTGATGGGCGTTAATTGTATTAAATCTTAAGCAAAAATCAGCTCTGCTTCTGACCTTTTGTGTATTGAATTGTAACAGTTTATCCTTAATTCCTCCAAGTGACAGAATGCAACCATGCCTGGGGTGCCTGTGGATAAAATAATTGGAATCTTAGTGTTTTATACTCGCATTTGAAAGTATTATTGTGATTGAAATTTGTTATAAATATAATAATATGGCTACTCCAGTTCCCCTTCCTCCACTGCTATACACCTACTTTCTCAAATTCCTGACCCTCTGTACTTCTTCCCCATCTCCTCTTGTATCTGAACTCCCCGCTTTTTCTTAGATGCCAGGGACCCAAGAGGTTCCCAGGACCCAACAGGGAGGACATTAGCTGAAATACCCAACAAAGGGAAGATAAAACCTGTAGAGACCATATCCAGTGGAAAGGAAGGGCCCCCAGTTGAAGGATGTGGACACCCACCCACTTCAAAAATATTAATCCAGAAATGCTCCTGTCAAAAGGAAATAAAGGGACAAAGAGTGGAGCAGAAACTGAAGGAAAGGCCATCCAGAGACTGCTCCCCCTAGAAATCCATCCCATCTACTGACACCAAACCCAGACACTATTGCTGATGCCAAGAAGTGCTTACTGACAGTAGCCCAGTATAGCTGTCCCCTGAGAGGTTCTATCAGAGCTGGATCAATACAGATGACTGAGTGCGAGGACCCCAATGGAGAAGTTAGGGCAATGAATGTAGGAGCTGAAGGGATTTGCAACATCATAGAAAGAACAATATCAACCAACCAAAGTCCCCAAAGCTCCCAGAGATGAAACCACAAACCAAAGAGTACACAGCGAGTACCCATGGCTTCAGCTGGGTATGTAGCAGAGGATTGCCTTATCTGGCATCACTGGGAGGGGAGCCCCTTGGTCCTGTGGAGGCTAGATGACCCAGGATAGGGGAATGCTAGGGCACTGAGGCAAGAGGGGCTGGGCAGGTAGGTGAGCACCTTCATAGAGGCAGGGGGAGGGAGGAGAGGAATAGAGTGCTTGTGTGTGAGAAACTGAGACTGGAGATAATATTTGAAATGTAAATAAATAAAATAACCAATCAAAACAGAAATATAAATATAATATTTTAATATTTAATATTTAATAACTATTTGGTGTTTGATAAAGATTAATGTTTATCATTTAAAATAAAATTAATTTGAAATTAATGTTTAATAAATATAATATTATTTAATAAATATAATATTGATATAAATATAATAATGTTCTTGTTATTGAAATATTAATGAAATTTAGCCCACCAACTCTTTGTAAGGAGAACAGGAAAATAATGTCTTATGAGTTCAAATTTTATCTAGGAGCTACAAACCTACAAATTATGATCTAAAATCTCATAGGATCTATGAAACAACTATGTATTAATCTCACAGAAAATATGCTTTTGTAGGAGGACTTCTGCCTATGTAAATATTGATGACTGTTTAGTCATGACTCATGTTAGTAACATACATTTGTGTTTTTTAAAATAAATTCTCTTATATTCTAAATTAAATGTATTAGTGATAACATAAAAATGATAATTCGTAATATAAACTCATTATTTCTTGGCAAGAAGAATTATGTATTTTATACAGCTCAACTTGCCATTCCAATGGCTTTTTAAAGACACGGGCAGATGAGAATTGATGATTCAATTGCTAGACACATAAAATGTTTCTTTCATTTTTAATGATAATTTTGAAAGAGCTATGAATTTAATGCTAAGGCACAATTTATTTCACTAAACTTTGGTGCTCATCTTTTGGGAAGACCTGTGCTGATGCCAGGTCAGACGTCTGCTGAATCATGGGGGACTAGGGCCATCTATCAACTACTAAGTTCTTAACAAAGGCTGGGCCACTGCCCTAGGAAATCATATGCCCATTTGGGAGGACGTAGAGTAACCTGAGGCATTGTGAGAAAGAACAGAGCAGCTATAGATGGGACCGTCCACAGAGGAACTGTGTTCTCTGTATCTAGTCTATTATCCTTGAGGCCTCTGCCCTGACATTTGGATTTTCTACAATTTGCCTACTGTTGACTTAAAACGGGAGAAACAAGAGGCCAGTGGAAAGATGCAGGAGAGAAGTCAGAGTCTCTAATTAGATGTCAGAGAATAAGATCTCAGAAGAGAGAAGCTTGAGAAAAAAGCTATGCTAAGGATCTCGGAGGGACAGATCTAAAAGTTATGTGAAGAAAATGGTGTCAGCAGTAAGCTACAGGCTTCCACATTTATCCAACACTTGTACTCACAAATTAACAAAGAATTCAAAGCAGCTTTCTCCGGGAAATAATGTGATCACACTGTGTTAAAATCTAACAAGAATCTGTTACCTTTAGTGTATCCAAGACTTCTTTAGAAACAACAGACCAGACAACTGCAGAACTGCTCAACACTTATTCAGATGATGACTACATTAAAAAGATCCAGAAACGCCTAGAAGAAGATGCCTTTGCACGTGAGCAAAGGGAAAAAAGACGACGGAGATTGTTGATGGACCAGTTAATAGCTCATGAAGCACAGGAGGTGAGATATTTGATGTTAGTTCTACATGAACATTGCCTAGAACTTCAGAATACATGGGCTTGTGTTTATACAACTAGTTTATATACATGTTGTCTGTCACTCTGAGTCAGATCTCATAGATAAATCCTCACATCAGAAAAGTAAAATCCTCACTTATAAATTCTCAAAGCACCATCATTAGTGACTATAGACCTTGGGGTACTCAGTAATTCATAAGTTGTACTGTGGCCCATCTCTCCAAAACAGCTAGTTACGGAACTGGTTAAAAGTTACCCAAGTAAATACCTAGGTTTACATCACGGCAGAAGTGGGAAAACCTGTGCCTTAGGGTTTGCATTCCTGCAAAAAACATCATGACCAAGAAGCAAGCTGGGGAGGAAAAAGTTTATTGCTAATCATCACCACAAGAAGTCAGGACAAGAACTCACATAGAGCAGGAATTTGGAGGCATGGCTGATGCAGGGGCCATGGAGGGGTGCTGCTTACTGGCTTGCTTCCGCTGGCTTGCTCAGCTTGCTTTCTTATAGAACCCAGCACTACCAGCCCAGGGATAGCACCACCCACAATGAGTCCCCCCCCCCACCCCGATCACTAATTGAGAAAATGCCTTATAGGTGGATCTCACAGAGGCATTTCCTCAAGGGAGGCTCATTTCTCTGTGATAGCCCCATCGAGTGTCAAGTTGACATGCAAAACCAGCCAGTACAGCCTGTAAACAAATTGAGACTATTCTAGGTTACATATTCTTTAAAATCTTTCCCAAATGTTCTAAGGACAATTAAGGTAGAAGTGAGTCCTCCATTATTTTCATGTATTCACTCATAATACAGGATAATTCATCTAAGCTGCAAGTTTGTAGCCTTCCTTAGCAGAAACCATCACATCTTATAGTTTAGATGAGGAACCATCATCTATTTCCTTGTAATTTTAGCAAACAATGCATTTCTGAAGCATGAGCTACTTTTATAATACAACAACAAAAACAACACCATCAAACTCTTTCCCACTTAGCTTCTATGTGAAGGTCCTTATAGTTCTTCAAACTGAAACTTAACACCCAAAGCCCTGACATAGCCATCCCACTGTTCCAACTTAGGTTATTTGTTGTCCAAGAAAGGCACCAGTTCCATATTTACCTGAATTGTCGTTCCAAAAGACGTGCATATACATAATTTCCAAACATCTAAAAACAAAATTTTTTTGTTTCTTTTTTTTCAAATTGTAATTTATACTCATTCACACAGGGGTTATAAACACAAAAAGGCAGGACGTGGAGAGGGGATGACACTGGAGCATGGGTGTTAAGGGGGAATACAGATATCTTTCAGAACCGGGTATCAGCTGGGTGTAGAGAGAATTGTATCACTTGTTTTGAAAACTCACATAATTTGCTCTTATTAAATTTTAAAGGAAGTAACAACTTATTTTGAAGCACTTACAACTTTCCATACCATAAAGTTTCTAGAAATATTTATTGTTAAATCTCTGATTAACTAACATGTGTGTGTGTGTGAGTTCAAAGTTAAACCAAAGGGCAGAAGTGGACTTAAATGACTAGCATGCCTTTTACACATTATTTGCAAACTAAACTGAATTCTGAGTCACTGGGTAATATGGACTTGGCTTTGGCAAGTCATTGGCTCTGGTGCTGGTGTTCACAGGAGGCCTATCGGGAAGAGCAGCTCATTCACCGGCTAATGCGCCAGTCCCAGCAGGAGCGCAGGATTGCTGTGCAGCTCATGCACGTTCGCCATGAGAAGGAAGTTTTGTGGCAAAATAGAATTTTCAGAGAAAAACAATTTGAAGAAAGGCGACTCAAGGACTTCCAGGATGCCCTTGATAGAGAAGCGGTAAATAAAATCTCCATTAAAAATCCTATTTGGTCATCAGTTTCTAACTGACAGGGTAGGAGGCAGCCCCTACATAGTGTACCCTCCACCAGCTGTCTTGGTTCTAAGTATTGCATGCTTACCATCAGTTCTGGGCTTGCTTGTCGCTTACCATTTTTGCTTTCCTCTTTAGTTCCCATTCCAAATGATTCCTCAGGAAGTATTCATTAGTATTAATATTCTCTGAGTTCTTGGATATTGATGATAGTGTATGTTTCTGTATGTACTTGCCAGTTTGAAATGCTTGTTTCGTCTCTATTTCCCTTGAATACCTTAACTACACCTCTTCGCTTATATATAGTTTTGCTGACAGAAGGCTGTTGATGATCATCTAATTTTCATGTCCTTGAATTATTATGTTTTTACCTTAGACACCCAGTGGACTTTCCTATCTCTAAAGTTACTAGTCTGGGTAGTGATATGAACTATTTTCGGAGACTATTCTGAGGCAGAACGAGAGCTCTGAAGAAGCTTTCTTTAAATAAGAAAGAATTAGTAAATAAACAATTAATAAACTCTTTGGTATGACACAACTTCCCAGGCCTATATTATATTGCACTGCTCCTTCCTCAAAACTATAATAATCCATGTGAAGGCAGGGATGCTGTAATTTATTGTCAATGAGAGCAGTGCCTAGAAGCCAAGGTCTGTCTCCTGTTCTTTGCTACTATGATATTATTTTGAAACTCAAAAATCAAAATATCCAATGCCTTACTCATTTGCTACATCTTATCTCTCCTAAACTTCCTGTGTATGCTTTCTTGTGACAAAAATAGTTTTGTTTATCAATGGTTTTCTTGGCTTGATTTTTGTCTATTTCCCATTGGGGAACTCATACTTATTTTATCAGTATATCAAACTTGCTTACAGGCACGTGGAGATCAACAACTCAGGTAGCTTGCATGTGCTGTCATAAAACATTCTTAAATGAGTCTGGACAGGAGAGAAGCTCTTTCAGCAAATAACAGAATGGCATTCACCAGCTTGCTGGCTCCTTCTATGATACTCCATGATAAAGCACATTTTGTCCAGTCCAGTAGTTCTTGATTTTACATTTTGGTGCCACCTACTGTTATGAATAATAATTAATCACAAAATTTTGAGCAGTAGCGTCAAAATGCAATTGTACTATTCTCACTATATGCATAGAAAACTCTTGCAAAAGTGACAGATGAACACTCTCTGTAAGCTTTACACATAAGGAAAGAGAAGCCAAAAGAATAAAAGTCAAAAGTGTGTCAGGTTCAGAGCCTTCCTGTAGGCCTTTGTAGCCCAATCTTATTGCTATTAAGAATTACTATGTCCACAGACTTCTTTTATATTTCTTCCTTCTTCTTTTAGGACTGTAGCATACTATGATATAATGAGATAGGACAGTATTGTGACTCTAGCACAGAGTTAATGGAAGATTTAGAATGTACTAGGAAGACCAAATAGCAGATGGAAAAGAAGAACAGAGAGACAAAGGAAGCCAATATGAGAGAGGAAAGACAGGAGGGGTTGGAGGGAGAGAGAGAGAGAGGAAGGGACAAAGGGAGTAAGGGAAGGGAGGGAGGGAGGAAGGAAGGAAGAAAGGAAGGAAGGAAGGAAGGAAGGAAGGAAGGAAGGAAGGAAAGAAGGGAGAGAAGCAAGGAAGGGAGAGAAGGAAAGAAAGGGAGAGAAGGAAAGAAG